AAACCTGACCAGCTGAGGTCTGGGTGAGGCAAGGGAGATCTGGAATGGGAAGTGGAAGAAGAGAGTCGTAGATATGACTTTATATGATTTTATAATTGATCTTGTGACCAATTATAAAAGTGAAGACTATAGTAGCTTTGTGTATTTTCATTTTGCTTGTATGTATTTATATATGCTAACCATTTCTAATTTTCCTTCTTTCCATTATATAGTGGTTGTGGGAGGTTAACTCTGTAATTTATTCTTTAGCTAACAGAATATTCTGTTGGACTGAGGAATTAATTCATATAGCCAGCGATGGATACGATGATGTTTGAGACTGAGTATCTCCTAGTGTTAGGGAAAGTCTGAGAACTTCTCCACTTGCACAAAGGGTAGATGTGTCCCAGGTAGAAAGAGAGTTGTTTTGTTGTTATATAGAAGTCCAAACTCTTGTAGGGATATAAATGGAAACAATAGCTAAGTGGGTGGACTGTGCCAGTTACTAACTTGTTGGCTTTCAGCTGTAAATGTTCTTTGCGATGATGGAGCTGGATCCTGTAAACTGTAAACATTTCTTCTTTGCCAGCTGACAGTTGTTGTTAGAAAGCCAGGAGAAGGGCCAGGCATGGTGGCTCATGCCTGTAATCCCAGCACTTTGGGAGGCGAAGGTGGGTGGATCACCTGAGATCATGAGTTCGAGACCAGCCTCGCCAACATGGGGAAACCCCATCTTTACTAAAAATACAAAAATTAGCTGGGCATGGTGGTGGGCACCTGTGATCCGAGCTACTCAGGAGGCTGAGGCAGGAGAATTGCTTGAACTCTAAAGGTGGAGGTTGTGGTGAGCCTAGATTGTGCAATTGCACTCTCTAGCCTGGGTGACAGAGCAAGACTCTGTCTCAAAACAAAAACAATAAAACAACAATGAACAACAAAAAAAAGAAAGTCCGGAGGACACTGCAAGAGAAAGGGGTTCTCTCTTCCTGGTTCTGATGGCTTTTTTCTTTCTAGTTCTGGGAGCTTATACTGCCAGGTTTTCCAGCTAAGTTTGGCAGCACCTCAGAGGGCAGATTCCCAGTGAGTTTCAGTGACACTCCTATGGGTGGCTTCCCAGTAAGTTTCATAGCAGCACCCCAGTGAGGCTGAAGGGCATCCAGTTGTGTTTGCCCTTAGCAAATTTTGCAGGCATTCCAGCAGGCAGCTTCCTAGAGAATTTCACCAGCACCCTATTGGATGGCTTCCCAGAAAGTCTCAGTGGCTTCCCCACTCCCAGAAGGCTTCCCATCAATTTGCAGTGGGAGCCTAGGAAGCTTTCTAGTCAATTTTGCAGGTGTCCCAGCAGGTGACTGAGTCTTGCTGGAACCTCAGTTGATGATTTCCTGCTTGCCAGCACCAGCCTGTGGCACCTCAATAAAGTTCTTGGCCTGTAGTGGTACTCAGCCACACCTTCTGATGAATTCTGTACCTTAGCCTTGGGGAGAAAGAACCCTTTCCAAGTTCCTTGAGTATCCTGCCTTAGCCTTAGAAGCGTGGCTTTTTCCTTTGTCTGCTGTTGCTGTATTCGTTAGGATTCTGGTTACACATGAGTAATCAATCCCTTATTACTAGGTAATTTTTAATATTAAATTTTCTCTATTCACCATGTAAGTGGGGTTTCTGTCCCCTTACCAGACCCTGATTAGTACATAAATTAAAAATGAGAAAAGATGTATCAGATAAAAAACTAAAATCAAAGTAAGTCAGGATGCCAATATTTTAGAAAGTTTAATTCAGGGCAAAAAGCATCAAATGTTATAGAATGCAATATAGTGAAGATAGACTACTTATTGGTATCACTGCACCAATAACAGCAACAATCTTCATGAAGCTAAAACTTCAAAAGAGAAACAGAGTTCTAGTAGGCTTAACTTTCCTTTAATTAAGCATTGACAGTGCCAATAAGCAGATTACAAGAAAGTTATAATACCTAAAACATACTAAATAAGGTATGTTAACTTATATGTTATATATGTAGAATTTTATACCTTGAAAACCAAGAATACACATTTTTTTCAAGTGTCCATAAAACATTTGCTAAGACTAATATAAGATGCAGCCACAGAGCAAACAACTTTCCCAAAGTAGAAATAATACAGATAACATTCTGTGATCAAACGTAATAAAAGAGAAAAATTAAATACTAATGTAAACACGCATATGCACACACATACAACAGAAATTTTTTAAATGCCACCTGAAACTTGAAAAAAACCTTTTTTTTGGCTGGGTGCAGTGGCTCATGCCTGTAATCCCAGCACTTTGGGAAGCCAAGGTGGGAGGGTCATGAGGTCAGGAGTACAAGAGCAGCCTAGTCAACATGGTGAAACCCTGTCTCTTCCAAAAATGCAAAAAACAGTCAGGTGTGGTGGCAGGTGCCTGTAATCCTAGCAACTCAGGAGGCTGAGGCAGGAGAATCATTTGAACCTGGGAGGTGGAGTTTGCAGTGAGCTGAGATCGCACCATTGCACTCCAGCTTGGGCGACAGAGCAAGACACCATCTCAAAACAAAAACAAAACAAAACAAAGCAAAAAACACCTTTTTTTCTCACACAACTCTTTGGTCAAAGAGGAAGCTAAAATTAAAATTGTACAATATCTAGAAAATAGTAGTGAAAGGCCTACTTAGAACTTACGAGAATCTCATACCTAATGCAGTGACCAGAAGAAAATTATAGCTTTAAATAATTAATAAACAAGGAAGAATAAAAAAAAGAAATTAACATTTGCCACCAAAAGTTAGAATACCAAAACAAAGTTCATAAAAGCAAAATGAAGAACGAATAATAACTGGAAATTGATAAATTTGCAAAGAAAAAAATGGCAGAACCAATAAGTGAAATCCAAATGTTGGGTCTTTGTATCAAAACAAACAAGAAACTGTTAGTTGAGCTAATTTTTTAAAGAAAAAGAGAAAAATCACAGTTACACAAAATAAGAATTGGTAAGTAGAAAATTAACAGCAGATGAAGAATTTCAAAGACGTATAAGAGAGGCATATGTTCAACTCTGCAAATAAATTTGAAAATCTAGATGAAATAAGTAATTTTCCAGGGAAATATAATTCATCAAAAATCAACTCCAGAAGGGATGAAAACTCTAAATAGCCAATTGCCTTGGAAAAAGTAGAGAACGATGCTAAAGTCTCCCCTCTCATCCCCAACAAACAAGTATGCACTCACCAAACACACACGTAGAAAATTTCTTCCTACAATTAAGAATAAGAGGATCACCATTATCAATACTATTATTCTGAAAGTCGTTATTAACAAATTAGATAAACAAATGAACCTTACCTTTGGAAATTATGTTATCATTTATTTGCACATTATGTAATTGAATACATGGAAAATCCAAGAGAATCAACTAGAAAACTGTTAAAAATAAGAGAATTTAGCAATATGGCTGAATTTAAAAATAATATACAAAAATCAAACTATAAGTAAAATAATCAGAAGAACAGAAATTACTATCCTATTTACAATAACTTCAAAAACTCAAACAGCTATTAAGGTTTTAAAATCTTTTTACTATGGAAAATTGTAGAGCAATAATTAACTCTGACACACCCATCTTCCAATACAAATAAACTAATCATGATTCACTTCCACATCTACCCTCAGATTATTTTGAAGCACATGTGTGAGGTCATATTTAATTCTTAAATATTTCAAGATAGATAATAAAGATAGGTATAAAAGATACTATAGATTCTATGGAATATAAGATTCAATGTCATAAGGAAGAGCGTTCCCAGGTAAGATAAATGCTCACAACAGGCCCACAGAGACAATGTCCAGATTGCGGGGGGTGCCACAAGAAGCCAATAAAGAGTTGAACGTGGACTGGTGCGGTGGCTCACACCTATAATCCCAACACTTTGGGAGGCCAAAACAGCTGGATGACTTGAGCCCAGGAGTTCGAGACCAGCCTGGGTGACATGATGAAACCCTATCTCTACTAAAAGTACAAAAATCAGCCAGGCATGGTGGCACATGCCTGTAGTCCCAGATACTCGGGAGGCTGAGGCAGGGGAATCGCCTGAGCCTGGGAGGCAGAGGTTGCAGTGAGCAGACATGGCGCCAGCACTCCAGCCTGGGTGACAAAAAGAGACTGTCTCCAAAAAAAAAAAAAAAAAAAAGTTGAAATTATCATAGTTACTTACTGGAACATAATCATAGTTACTTACCAATGAGTGTGAGCATTTTGAAATAGTGATAAGTACACATAAAAAGTAACTGAAGAAAAAAACCTGAGGTAATCATCAATCTCAGGAAAAACAAAATATAGAGTGCTTGGCGGCTATGAACAATAGCTTCATAGTTATGATCACATAAATATCGACAATTGATTTAAAGTCACAGCATTAAAAGAAATAAGTGAAGGAAAGTTTGTGGGTAGAGGATATAAATGTTCTTAACCACTGTAACATTTACTTAATGTTAAAATTAATGTATCAGGAAATGACAGTATAAGCATGTTCTTTTCATAGAAGTCACCAATAGGAGGAACAGCTAAAATATCGTCATTTCTTTTAATTAGGACTGCACATGGGGAGAAGCATGGCCTAAGGCCATGAATCTTTATTATAAGAAAGGTTTTAATATTTGATTTTAAAATCATAATTATATATCACCTTGATTGAAAAAATAAAAATTGGCTGGGTGCAGTAGCTCATGCCTGTAATCCCAGCACTTTGGGAGGCCAAGGTGGGAGAATCACTTGATCCCAGGAATTTGAGACCAGCCTGGCCAATGTGGTGAAACCCTGTCGCTAGTGTAATTATAAAAATTAGCCTGGTGTGATGGCACAAGCTTGTAATGGCAGCTACTTGGGAGACTGAGGCAGGAGAATTGCTTGAACTCAGGTTGCAGTGAGCCAAGATCACTCCACTGCCCTTTAGCCTGGGTGATGGAGGGAGACTTTATCTCAAAAAAATAAAAATTAACAAGCCAAAAAAAAAATGAGAAAAGAAACCACACTCACCTGGAATATTGTTGAGTGTAATCCAGAAATGTTCATCTGGACTGTAGGTATCCTGAGACCACTGGAGTAACTCAATGGCTATTTTATTATAAAGAGCAAAATGGACAAATTCCCTTGTAAGGGCAACATAAGCTGAACCAAAGTGGATTTTGAGTTGATGTGGAGGCGGGCTCTTCCTTTTACGCTTCTGTAGGACAAAAGCGTGTGATCTGGTTCTGTACTCTCTATGGGTATATTTGATCCTTTCAGTAGATTTCAGAACAGACACTAAATTAGGTGTAATGTTTGTCCAGTTCATCATTTTTAAATATTGAACTATCTCCCTGTTGGTTTTTAGGGGGAAATCGTGATCGCCAGTGTTAATGACATATCTCCACTGAACAGCTGATGCTACAAGATCTCTCATGCAGGCCAGGTCTGCTTGGAGCTTGGATTTGCCCCCATAAATAATGTATTCAGACTGTGAGGATATAAATGCATTTGAGAAGCACTCCAGTAATTCACTCACAGCAATTTTGAAGTCAATCGTGGCTGCCTTATCAACATGAATACAGTAGACATTTTGAGGCATGTAAATAGCCCGGAAAAGTCGTTCAAACATATCAAAATCTTGACTGATGGTCATTACATATGCCAAAGGGAATGCAGCTTCTTCTGTGGACAAAGGAGTTGTGATATAGTGGTTCTCTAGCACATAGTAAGGGCAGGAATCTATTCCAAACGTTGTGGATAGAGCACTTGGCAACACTTGCACCGTCTTCCCATTTAGGGCTGCGTCACAGATGTGCAGTAGGGAAAGGACTTGATATTCACCACCTGCATCATCCATATGATCACTGTCTGGTTGACTTACATGCATGTTGTATAATACTGTGACGATGATTATAGCTTGAAGAGTAATGATACAAAGATAACTGCTCCAAAACTTCATTTTAGTTTTGACACCTTGGGGTAGACGGGTGGAGGGAAAGAATTCTTCTTTGAGAGTTAAAGAAAATAGTCAATTAATAAAACATTTTGCTTCTCTACAAGTCTCTGCAGTCTACAGCAGTTTATATGGAAATTCTGTCTCCTCTAAAATCCATAGCCAGTTGTGGGGAGATTTTGCCACCCAGTGTTGTTAGGACCCTTCAAAACTAAATGAATGAGGGATAATAGTTGCACTCACTAATTGTATCCGTTGCACTCACTTTTCCAGATCCCGTTTGCTTATTTTAATTCCTGGCCATTTCCCAGTTGAGTGTCAATTCTGTGACATTTCTTACTTCTTATTCTGTGAATGCTCTTATCTTTTAGACAATGTATCCTCATCCAGGCTGGGCTACCAAGAGTACTCAGTGTGACTCACCTTCCTTTCTGTCTTATCTGCTGTAACGGGGAGCTGGGGTAAAGGGTGAGCTCTCACTTCTTGTTTCTATTGTTGAATCAGCTAATCTGTCATAATTGTGTCCAGTTACAGACCTCTCTATATCTGTAACCCACCTTTTGTGGCTAACTTCTCTCTGAGTATGCATATCTAGGTATATTCCATTAACTTCCCAACTGGCTTATCAGTCCTAACCTTTTAAGCAGGAAGATTCTTCCAGATTTCTGTCCGTTCACGTAGGAGTACTTCATTAGGCAGGGCCAGGTTTTAAAAGTTTTTATCCGAAGTGGTCAGCATAGCGCCAGGCACATTTGGGCACTCAGCGGATTCTTCCAATGAATAATTGAAAGAGTGACTCATTTCCCTCGTTCCTTTAGTTTTGAAGGGTCCCAGCAACATTAGATGGCAAAATCTCCCCACAACCGGCTGTGGCTTTTAGAGGAGACAGAATTTCCATATAAACTGCTGTAGATTGCAGAGGATTAGGGACTAATTTTAACATGACCCATTACTCATATATATTAATCATTTTGATTATTCACACAATTTCAAACTATTGCTTTTACAGGTAGACTTGTATTCTCATGTGAATTTTCTAGGTAACTGGAGTGCATTTCTTTATGGGCCAACTCTCTTTCTCTCTTTTTTTTCTTATTTGAGATGGAGTCTTGCTCTGTTGCCCAGGCTGGAGTGCAGTGGCACAATTTTGGCTCACTGCAACCTCCACCTCCCAGGTTCAAGCAATCCTCCTGTCTCAGCCTCCTAAGTAACTGGGATTACAGGCGTATGCCGCTATGTCTGACTGATTTTTGTACTTTCAGTAGAGACGGGGTTTCATCATATTTGTCAGGCTGGTCTTAAACTGGTGACCTCAGGAGATCCGCCCAAAGTGCTGGGATTATAGGTGTGAGCCACTATGCCCAGCCAGGCCAATTCTCTTTTAATTGTTATTAGTTTTTCTAAAAGTTAATATGTTTTCTCTGCCTTCTTTAATAAGCTATACAAAGATAAGGGCTTCTCGACGACTCCCCAAATCACATAATGAATATTATTACAATTTTAAGACAGAGTCTCTCTCTGTCATCCAGGCTGGAATACAGTGGTGCGATCACAGCTCACTGCAACCTCAACCTTCTGGGCTCAAAGGATCTTCCTGCCTCGGCCTCCTGAGTAGCTGGGACCATGGGCGTGTACCACTTTGTCTAGCTAAATTCTTTTTTTTGGTAGAGATGGGGCCTTACCATGTTTCCCAGGCTGTCCCAAACTCCTGAGTTCAAGCAATCCTCCTACCGCAGTCTCCCAAAGCGCTGGGATTACAGATGTGAGCTGTGGTGCCAGGCCTACTATTTTCTATTCGAAAGTCTATCCTCTAGTGCACTCTACATATGCTTTGCATTTTGTAGCCACTTTTATCTCTTTTTCCTTCCTATCTCTTTTATCTCTTTTTCCTGCTTTTTCTACAACATCGATGATGACAATGACAGCAAAACAACAAATTCATTGAGTTGTTTCTAGAAGCCAGCCACTGTATTAAATTTCATGTCCAATTGTAACCCCCAGTGTTGGAGGAGGAGCCTGGTGGGAGGTGATTGGATCATGGGGCGGAGTTCTCATAAATAGGTCAGCACCATCCCCTTTGGTGCTTCTCTTGTGATATTAAGTGAATCATTGTGAGTTCTGGTGGTTTAAAAGTGAGTGGCACCTCCCTGCTCTCTCTCTTCCTCCTACTCTGGCCACATGAAGTGCCTCACTCCCCCTTTGCCTTCTGCCACAATTGGAAGCTTCCTGAGGCCTCCCCAGAAGCAGAAGCCACTATGCCTTCTACACAACCTGCAGAACCATGAGCCAATTAAACCTCTTTTGCTTATACATTACCCAGTCTCAAGTATTTCTTTGTAGCAATGCAAGGATGGGTTAATATAAAAACTGGTGCTGAGGCATGGGGCATTGCTATGAAGATACTGAAAATATGGATGCAGCTTTGGAAACTGGGTAATGGGCAGAGGATGGAAGAGTGTGGAAGGCTCAGAATAAAACAGGAAGATATGGGCCTGAACCCTTTTAAGCCATAGAGGCAGAGCTGCCCAAGGCGTTGGGAGCCCATCCTTTGCACCAGTGTGCCCTGGATGTGAGACATGGAGTTAAGGGAGATTATTTTGGAGCTTTAAGATTTAATGATGACTGCCCTGCTGGGGTTCAGACTTGTGTGGGGCCTGTAGCCCCTTTCTTTGGGCTGATTTCTGCCTTTTGGAACAGGACCATTTACACAAGGCCTTTGTAACTTGGAAAGTCATTAACTTGTTTTGATTTTACAGGCTCATAATTGAAAGGGACTTGCCTTGTTTCAGATAAGACTTTGGCCTTCAAACTTTTGAGTTAATACTAGAATGAGCGAAGACTTTTGGGTCACTGTTGAGAAGGGATAATTTTGCAATGTGAGGACATGAAATCTGGGGGGCCAGAGGTGGAATGATATGTTTTGGAGCTGGGTCCCCACCAAATCTCATGTTGAATTGTCATCCCCAGTGTTGGAGGTGGGGCCTTGTGGGAGGTGAGTGGATCATGGGGGCAGAGTTCTCATGAATTATTTACACCATTCCTTCAGTGCCGCTTTCGTGATGGTGAGTGAGTGAGTCATCGGGAGATCTGGTTGTTTAAAAGTGGATGGCACCTCCCTGCTCTCTCTCTTCCTCCTACTCTGGCCGCATGAAGTGCCTCACTCCCTCTTTGCCTTCCACCATGATTGGAAGCTTCCTGACGCCTCCCCAGAAGCAGAAGCCACTATGCTTCCTGTACGGCCTGTAGAACCATGAGCCAATTAAACCTCTTTTCTTTATAAATTACCCAGTCTCAAATATTTCTTTATAGCAATGTGAGAACGGGCGAATACACCTATATTACAAAGTTTCATCCTCACAGCCCCTTTACCATCTTCTTCTTTTTTCTTTTTCTTTCTTTTTACCGAGTCTTGCTCTGTCACCCATGCTGGAATGCAGTGGTGCAATCTTGGCTCACTGCAGCCTCCGCCTCCCAGGTTCAAGCAATTTTCCTGCCTCAGCCTCCTGAGTAGCTGGGATTACAGGCGCCTGCCACCACGTCCAGCTAATTTTTGTATTTTTAGTAAAGACAGGGTTTCACCACGTTGGTCAAGCTGGTCTGAAACTTCTGACCTCGTGATCTGCCCGCCTCGGCCTCCCAAAGTGCTGGGATTGCAGGTGTGAGCCACCACACCCAGCCTATCATCTTCTATTTTATGAGGAGATGAAGAGCTATGAAAGTAACTTTTATGTCCAAGTCATACAACTATCAAGCAACAGCAGAAATCAAAGCAGAGTCTTCCTGATACCACAGGCCATGCTTTTGTTTTACCTCCTGTGGGATGAGAAACATACATCCAAACATGGTAGAACTTCACTGTTAAAGCCTTTTTTTTTTTTTTTTAAGTTGAATCACTGTTATCATTTAGCTTATTTAGCTCTGAGTAAAGATTGAGAACTTCATGTATATGATGAGGCATGTTTCTCCCCACAGAGGGGTGTATGAGTGTGTGGGTGCTACATCTTGACTCTGGCATGTGTAGCCAAAAATGCTAAGTAAGTAGAATGGTGAGCTGTTACTGTATGTGGGTATTTGGTTTCAGTCTCAACCCAGGAGACACAAACACTGAACCTTTCCCTCCAGCAATCATGGCCCCCAAATGTATTTTCTTAATCTTCCTCTCTTTCTCTATAGCAGATTTCCCAACAGCACTTTGAGCAGATTCCGTAACTTCGTCACCTTCTTCAGTGATGCAAAATCCATCCTTTTTTCAGTTCCAATCTCATTCCAATGTCATAATGCTTTTCCCCCTGGATGGAGGAAGGCTGCATGTGGTAGAGGCAGGGTCTGCTCCTTGACTCCCACTTACCCTGCCTCACCTTGAGTGGGTGGCATTGGGGGGTTAGGGACATGTGTCTCCTTCAGAGATGCTCCTAACTTCACTCTTCTCAGGAACAGATGAGTATTTGAGGAATGCGGTGGCTCACAAGGCACTGTGTTGGTTGTGGCTACTTGTCTTTTCCAGCTCAACTGGCTATGGAAAACCATCGCATGGCAGGTCACCAGCATACTCTCTCGGGACATGGTGTGCACCCTTGGCAGAGCCTGGCAGCCTCTATACTGTCCAAGTTCTCTGACCTGGCATGTCAGGACCTGGCTCAAACTCTCCCACAACTGACTACTGGGTAGTCTTCTGGGCAGGCTGCAAGCCCTCTTCTGTAAAATTAGAGCAGAACTGATCAAGTTAATATATATGCACACACATACATATATAGCATACGCATGCACATATGTATTCATGACTTCTTATTTTATTTACTGGATTGCTGTCTATTACTATCATCATTTGTCTTGATGCTCAAAGTGTCCCAGATTTAGCTCACAGGAGTCCTTTCAAGGGACTCCTGTGCCTTTTGAAATGTTCTCTTTCGGGTGCAACCATATGTTCCAGGCTCATCTTATACTTTCCATGTCCAAGTGCTGGAACCAGCTTTTACCCAAGGGAACCCTTAAGGACTGGCTGAACTTTTGCTAAAACCAGGGACATGTTGGTAAAGGCAAGTCCTAATGTCCAGTCACAGCTTTTGTCATCACTTGCAGATGGTGAAACT